TCGGAAGGCAGAGGCAGGCGGATCTCTGTGAGTTGTGAGTTGGAGGCCAGCCTGGACTACAAGAGCTAGTTCTGGGACAGGCACCAAAGCTACAGAGAAACCCTGTCTCAAAAAAGAAAGAAAGAAAGAAAGAAAGAAAGAAAGAAAGAAAGAAAGAAAGGAAGGAAGGAAGGACTGTTCTCAGTTATTTGACCTCATATATATTGGACTTTAGGTCTTATTTGAGAGGCTAATGGGAAATAAATTCAATTAATTAAACAAAAGGAGTGATGGTCATACGTGAAAAAACTCTAAACTAGGGAGTTTAAGATATTTGTTCTGTTGCAGATACATTTTTTTAAAAAAAATATGTATACAGTGTTCTTCCTGAATGCCAGAAGAGGGCACCAGATCTCATTGTAGATGGTTGTGAGCCACCATGTTGTTGCTGGGAATTGAACAGAGGACCTTTGGAAGGGCAGCCTGTGCTCTTGGCCTCCTCTGAGCCAACTTTCTAGCCCACAGATACATTATTGAAAGAAGCCATATTCCTTCCATTAAGCACACCCTATTCAGCCTACATGAATAAATTGTTACAGAGATACAGGGGGCAAGTAGACTTTTAAAATTCTGAGAAGCAATGGCCTCACAGCTAGACTCGAATTGTGATGAAAATAGTACATTGAGTTGTTCTAGAAGAGCAGGAATTCTCTCCCCATGCTAGAAGCCATGGCAATGTAAAGGACAGAGGAAGGTGGAGTGTGAGGCGGGCTGGACCTGTAGATTTGGAGGTGTTCCCTCTGGAAGACAGAGGGTATCAGCAGCAACACAGAATGCTCGTTGTGGGGCCTGGGGATTGTGTCAAGGACATAAGGACATCATGGGATGGAATCAGCATTTAGAAGTAGAGATGAAGGGAGAAGCAGAGGAGAGAAGAGAGAAAACTTTAAATGTCCACATTTGGAAGCTCACGGGGGGGGGGGGCATCAAAGAGAAGGCAAGAAGGTAAGTATCCAAAGAGGTTGGGGATCATGGGGATCACAAGAGAGGATATCAGAAGAGGGCGGGGCTAGCAGACAATGCAGGTGTGTGCTAAGCACAAAGAAAGGCAATTTGCCACGGAATGAAATCACCTATGGCTTTAAAAGATTGTTTTCCCCAGAGTCAGGTGAGGGTATAATGGTCTGTGGTTGTTTGGAATCTGTTTTAGGTGAATTGCTATTAAAGCGTCTCACAAGATAACCCTGCTTAGGAGCCGGGTGTGTGAACCAAAGGCTAGAGCATGTGGATGTGTGATTTGATAAAACTGGGGCCCGATGGTCAGTACCAGGACTGGTGTTGTTCAAACTTAACACAAAGTAGACAATTTCTGTTGCTATCGTTCTATTTGTGGAGTTTAAGAATCTAAGGCTTCTACTCTTAGAAATCCCGCCTTTTCTTTTTCTATTTGAAATGGGAACCTACCTAAAAGTCACTACAATAACCAGACTCTAAACACAAAAAGCACTGAGAAAGATTAAATTTTATTACTCAAATCGTCTCAGGCATGAACTATTGACTATGCTACATTGTTCCTACCCATTCTTATCCCATGGGGAATCACAGTGAGTGTGAGCCTCATAACGCACAAGCGCTACCATAGTTACAATCTTCTCCAATAGTGCTTGCTCACAGATACCCTTTGGCCAAAAGCACATCCCAGTGTCATAAAAGGCGGGTTACAGTTATTGATGCAGAAAGGTTGTAACAACTGCATGCAAACTGCTATCTACAAGTCTGGCTTGTAGCACCTAGAAAAAAATAATGGCCCAACAAATGGTAACTCAGACAGGCCCTGAACACCAAGAATGGAAGGACTTCCCCATGAAAAGCCAGGGCACAAATTCTCCTCAAGCTAATTGACCCTGGATGGAAAAAGCAGGCCCTGCTCCCATAGAAGAGGGGGTATACACATGCGCGTTCTTTCACCCTCGCTCCCAGGGAGAAAGAGTGGCCTGTGCCAGAGGACACAAAAGCATTTCCATTTGTGCATCCGATGGACCTCCAGGGAGAAAACATTCCTCCTCCACCTCAGCTTTACCTACAAAGCACAGCCAGAAGCGGCTCAGGGATCCGCCTTGGATGATCCAGTGTAAACCAGACTGAAGGTAAGTCAGGGGAGCTGGGGTGTGGAGCACGCTTTCTGTCCCACGGTCCTGGGTAGTCTCAGTTGGGCCTTACCATCAGTACAGGGTCAAGGACAAGCCCCTTGCCACCACCATGTTGCCATATTAGGAACGTAAGTGTTTGGGAAGCTGCCATTTATAACGTTAATTCTGACTTCAACCTACTGCTGACTTCACACCATGCCTTCCAGATCAGGCAAACCCCGTGTTCCAGGGAACACACTGAGGAATAGACTCAACACACTACAAATGCCAGGTGGGAATGCCACTAACATGAGAAATCCAGAGTCTCTCCAAGAGAAAGGAAAAACTTGAAACCTAAAATATTTGATTTGTAAGGTTAACTTTGTTGATATACGCAAACTATTCAGGAGTCTTGTGTTGTTTTTAGTGACCAGGTCTTGTTAAAATGCAAACTAGATCATTGGATTGCAAAATTAAATAAATAAGGGAAAAGTCAGATATTATTACATGTTACTGTTTGTAAAAACCGAATAAGAAGTGTGAAAACTGCCAGGTGGTGGTGGTGCATGCCTTTAATCCCTGCATTCAGGAGGCAGAGGCAAGTAGATCTCTGAGAGTTCAAGGCCAACCTGGTCCACAGAGCGAGTTCCAGGACAACCAGGGTGACACAGAGAAACCATATCTCAAAAAGAAAAAAGAAAATGAAAAGTTTGACTAAATGAGCTTGTTTTTGGTTTCCAGTGTTATAAAAGAAAAGGGTCCAGGAAGACAGACAATTGCATATTATATAGTTACATGGCACACACAACACACAATACAATGTGCGGTCAAATATATTCTCTTCTCATCCTCCATGGGATATCATTTAGGAGTCAGATGGCTAAGGCATCATGTAGACAGTAGGTCTGACTCTCTCACAGCTCTGCCTTTGAGGACATAACGTGCTTGAGCCACAAACAAACCCCTAGAATCCAGAATCCAGAGGAGCTACAGTTCGCATAAAGGCGGGGTGAGGGTGAAGAAGACCCTGCCTACACAGGCAGGCATTTCACCAAGGGAGAAAGCTGTCTTGACCTGGGTCTGTGAGTAGCAGCAGAAAGATTGCCTTCTTCTAAAGACTTACATTTTAATCAGAGAATTTAAATTTCAAAGTTTCTTATAGTTGGAAAGAAAAGTATTGGGGTTTTAAAATAAAATGGTTTAAAAACCACATCCTCTCATTTCAATGACAAACAACCACTGTTGGCAGTCTGAAATAACTCAGGTCCTAGAGAGGAGTGAGGGACCACATTCACCCTAATTTCCCTTGAATTTAAGTGGACTATAAGTGTTTCTAATGACTTGGCCTTGAAGGCACATAATTTACTTTAAAGCAGACATAATGAACCCCGGAAAGCACCAGCCTTCTGTTCTGTGTTGGCCGACTACTCTTCTGTTTCATTCTCATTACCTTTTAATATTCCCACAAAACAATTCATTCCCAGATGATCAAAGGGCTAAAGTGGGCTCCGCCGTTTCATCAGCTCCACATTTGCCTGGGATCATAAAAGTGCTCCATTATGTTGCTAGTTCAAAAGCTTTGCTTTGGTAGTTCCTGAAGTGCCTCCCAGGCCCTTCCCTCTAACACATGCATGCACACACACACACACACACACACACACACACACACACACAGAGAGAGAGAGAGAGAGAGAGAGAGAGAGAGAGAGAGAGAGAGAGGCAAACATATACACTTTCTTAAAAATACTGGACAAAAAAAAAAAAAAATCTTTGGTAGTCCCAGGAGGAAAGATGCTGAACAAGAAGAACTTTCTTACTTTGTTCTTCCCCCAAAGTGTTCATCTCCTCCTTTCAGGAGCCAACCACTCGATTTCCAGGGCCTCAGTCTGCCCCTACACCTCTAAAGTCCCTGTTAAAGGGAAGACGGGAATGAGTTAGCTCTCTGTATACAATCAAAAGTGTGTTCTTGTATTCACGTGCCACAGCATATTCCATAGAAGTGTGTGTGTGCGCACACACACGCCTGTGTAAGAGGAGAGGCTGTGTTTTGTGCACAAAGGAAGTGAATACATTCTTCTCAAAATACATTATGATAACTTAATTGAAACATCACCTCAAAGATTCTGGGTATTTGCCAAACTAGTCTTGCTCACATCCCTGGGTTCTTTGGATGAAATTGAAAACGTAAGTGCTTATGTGCCCGTTCGTTAGTATAATTGGCACTCCCAAGAAAAGGCAGAATCCAAAGCATGTCTTTGAAACTTTGGACTGAACTGTTTCTAGAACCCGTTCCTGAGCTGGCAGGTAGGATAGGGAGAGATGGTCTCCTGTCAGCAGACACAGGAGGGGCAGGCCGCGCCGCGCGTGTACCACACCTAAGCGGCAGCAGTTGGCATTTGGCGAGCTTGGGGCAACCTGAGAAGTGGAGGTACGAAAATGAGAGCTGCCTGATGGATTGATATTCTCTCTCTCTCTCTCTCTCTCTCTCTCTCTCTCTCTCTCTCTCTCTCTCTCTCTCTCTCGGGCCAGACACACCCACCAAAGCTCCAGGTTTTTCAAAGAGCACAACTGTATCCTCTCCCGCGCTTTGCCTGCTCCAGCAGGTAGCAGGAACGCCATCCCCACGCACTCTCCACAACACAAAAGCTGCTTTCCTTCCTCTCATCCGAGCACACCCTCACTGGCCGAACTCGTTTACCCCCCACCCCCACCCCCCCAATTTCCCTCGGTTAGTTTGCCTTCTGGAGCAAGTAGGCTTTGAAAAGCCGACTCCAGGCAGCTCCTCTCAGCCTCCAACCCCCACGGACTGCAGATTGCCAGGAAAGTGGCCTGGGGGTATACATACTTCACCGGGGACCCTTCGGAGAAATCCACAGGGTGCCTTGCACTTACTTTGGCTTGCAGATGTCCTCGCTGACTTGCAGGCTGCCTTTGTTGCACGGTGCAGGGCGAGGTTTCTGCAGCGGACTCCAGGTACTGCTGGCTGCTGCTCCTGCCTGGGCGGCTGCGCTCTCCCCCCGCTTCTGGATGGATGACTCAGTGCTTTCTTTCTTCCCCTCGCTCCACTTTGGATTTTCTTATGCTCTGGGGCTTCCTTGGCGGGATTTTTGGACGGGAAGGCGGGGAACCTGATCCTGCCTTGACTCAATTACACCCTGCCAAGGAGGGAAATGGAGAATGGGAGGGTTGAGAGGAGCCGGCGGGGAGAAGAAGCAGACTGTGCGAGGGAGGGGGAGTGCTTTGCCCCCGAAATCTGATTGGGAAGCTTATGAAAAGCAGGCTACTCTGGGGGCAGGCTTTCCCCAAACGAATTTGCACGGAAAGACGAGGGAATATAAAACTGTTTGTTCTTAACATCCACCCCGCACGATATTTCTTTAACAAATTCCTAAGCACCATCATTTTTTCCTCTCATGGCTCCATACCTCGACTTATCAAGTCGGGTATCTTAATTGGAAAACCGATGGTATTTTAGACTACAGTTTTGGTCCCACGCTTGCTTTCTTTCTTTCTTTCTTTCTTTCTTTCTTTCTTTCTTTCTTTTATAAAGCATGATATACGGAGGGTAGGGGGAGTTAAGTGCGAACGCAGCTCCCCCTTGCTCTTTCTCTTGATCCCCAAAGTCCTTCCCCGCAGGGAGTCCAGCTAACTTCGGCCGCCAGCCGCAGCCCACCTGCAGTCACTAACCTGCAAAGAACCTTTCCTGGGTTGTCACTGGGATTGACAGATCTCTGAAAATTCCCAATTAAATGTCACTTTCCTTTAGGGGATTTTTGGCTTCTTTGATGCCTCTAGAGACCGATTTTTTGACACGCTTTTGGCAAAGAACATGGGATAATCAGTGTGGCTCACACTCGGGGGTTTGTAACGCTCGGAGAGTGAACTTCCCAGCTTCCTGCGACTTTTGAACCAAGAGGATAAAGTGACATATCAGCGTTGAGTCTCATACAGAAACTACTGCACAACGATGGAGGAGTAAAACTCAAATTTACCCAAATATGTTCAAATTGTAAAATGGACTCCAATTTCTCCCAATTCTGACATTACACCCCTCCGACTCAACTTAATTAGTAAGTCTTATGGGATCCCATGACCTTTGAACCCTCATATCTTAGGGCCATCCTACAATGAGAGCCATTAGTTTATGGCAAGTTGTTTTAAGGATGGGTGGCGGTGGGGAGGGGGCTCTTCTGTTTACTGCTTACTGCACCAGGCCCAAGAGTCCTCTGGGGACAAAAGAGGTGACCCTGCAGGAGAGAGCTTTTAATGCATTGTTTTTTTTTTTCAAAGGAGGAAACAACAGAACTTTGTTTGCACACCCAAACCTATCTCTGCATCAGACTCTTCTCCAGCTTCCTTTCCTAGCGCGCAAACCACCGTGTCTTCCTCCAGTCAGACTCCCAGTGACTCGGTTTCCTTTTCTAGTCTTCATTTCACCAGGGAGCAGTCAACCCATTTCCACCGGGCTTTACCTGGATGAGAAACGACTCCCAAGATTTGTTTTTGCCAGTCCCTTTACTGTAAGACACGCCTCAACATTTCCTTCTGTTCTGTAGTGATGGAATTCTAAGACTATTTCAGAAAGCTTGTCCTTCTCCTTACTACCCCTTAATTTTATCTATGTTTAGCATAGGCTGCTCTCAGTTCAGTAAAACATGTTGGATTAATTATGGCACTTTTTGGATTCTCATGATGTCAACTCTGTTTCATTTATCACTTCAAAATATAACATGTTGCTAAAGAGGCACATGTGAATTTTAGTTATATCTGTGGTTCTCAAAAGGGAGAACCTCTAGGAGACACTTAGCAAAGTCTGGAGACATTTTTAGTTATCACAATTTGGGGGAAGATACGACATATTCTATCTAGTGAGCTCTCTAGGGAGCAGAGGTCAAGAATGTTACACATACATTTTACAGGCCTGTCTCTATGGCCTAGTGACTCAAGAGCTTTCTGTGCAAATGTCAGACTGGAGTCTGGATCCCTAGTGCCCAACTTGTAGCCTATAATCCCAGCACTTGGGAGGCAGAAACAAGGACCTTGGAACAAAGCGATTAGTTAGACTAACCAAATCATAAGCTCTGGGTTCAGCAAGATACTCTGAGTAGACAAAGTGGGGAGTTGAGTGAAGCCTCCACAGGCAAGCATACACATAGGCATGCACACCAGTATGTATGTGGGTTTACACATATGTAAGCACGTGTTAACATATGAACAACACACACACAAATAAGTTGTTCCAAAATGTAAGTAGGGTCAAAACTGAGAAATACTAATTGTTGTTCCTAATTCTTGACTGGCTTTCTTGTCTGTGGGTTAGAGGGTAAAGACGTTACACGGGGAAGAAAACACAGACATGCGGAGGTCCCACGTGGGTGCACTTTTAATGGGGGAGGGGTAACAGTGGGCAGGTAAAGGTGTGCTGACACAACAGGAGGGGGGGGGAAGGGGCGGGGTCGACCCTCGCCTTTTAACGAGGAATGCAAAGCCTTCTGGGAAATGTGTCCATGGTCCAGAGGAACGCTGGGAGCTGTAGTTCCGCAAAGGAACAACACTAATGACATTATTTACCATGATATTTTGAAAATGTAAAAGAGTGAAGAGTATGTTTTTTCCATAAGTAGAAATCTATAAAGGCAATAAGCTGCATTTTAAATCAACCAATATTTTCACTAAAGCCTAAGTAAAACACTATTAATGCATCGGAGATGCCCGACCTCAAATCTACATATCCTGGGAAGCCCGATGCCAGATTTCTAGTCATTGTACTCACCTGACTACCCTTGGGGAGCCCTTCAGTGTTTGACTGGATATAATCACAAAGAAAAATGTTAAAAATGTTGACATCCAGAAAGCGTGTCTATTTGATCTTAATTAACAAATTAAAATTAGGGGGGAAATAATGTGATTAGTGACATGAAAAGAAAATGCTGATTTGGGAAGAAAACTTCAGAGATATAAATTTCAGCGATGACCTATCGTGGTAAACGATACTGAAGAAAATTGACCTGTGAAGCCTGAAGAGCCTCCGCGCAAAGCCATCAGCAGAAAGGGCACCATCTGAGCTGGCTGGAGTTGTGGCAGAGCGATAGAGCTCAGTGGTGGGAACTCCCAGCTAGAGGGTTGGGTGTTCAAGTCGGCTCGCGGAAGCCTGTGTCCACCACAAGTAACTACAGTTTACTCCAAATGATCCAAGTGCCAGTGAGAATGAAACCCCCCCCCCCACTGGTTTCACAAGGTCCCTAAGCTGTGGTGCAGACACCACAGGAGAGCCAGAGTAGACACAGAGCCCCCAGCAGGAGGTTCTGCAATTACTCCTTGACTGAATGTTTCCCCCCTACCCTGCTCCCCAATTGCTAGGAGAATAACTCCGAACACTTTTGTTCTCTGAAGCTCTGATCAGCAGTTACTATCACGGGTTTCTCTGCCCCCATTCAACCTCTCCAGGTGAAATTAATGACCCCCTGCATGCCTGTTACAAGACTAATAAGGAATTAATGCAAGATGATTTGAAATCAGGAAAACTCTAACACAGCCCACGGTTGTTTTGAAAACGAGGCCACTGATTCCTCGGTGACAAATACAAAGAGGTGGGTTACTAGCTGGATCTTTGAAAATGTGGAGGAAGCAGATGAAAAATTGGGTAACACATCTCCTACTGTCTACTTGGCAGGGTGTTTGGATTCTTGGTCATCACTCTCTAGTTCTCCCATCTCCCTGGAATGCAAAGAACAATCCGTCAAGCTATCTGTCACAGCTTGAGGGCAATCCCAGGAACACATATAGAAAAATGCATTCTAGCAAGCATGCTTAGATCCTTCCCAAATCCTGCCTCTTCTTTTTGCTAGCATTGTTCATGTGGTTAGGAGATCAGGTAAGCAGTTTGTATGCATCAGACTTTGGCCTGTGACAAAATTAACTACTTAAAATACTTAACTACTTAATTAACTGAAATTAACTACTTAAGAAAGATTTAGTAGTAGAAGTAGTAGTAGAAGAAGAAGAAGAGGAGGAGAAGGAGGAGGAAAAATTAGATTTAGGCTATATTTCATATATTTAAGCCATATCAGTACCTGCTGAATTTAAGTATCTCCAGTTCATGCCCCTCTAGCCTGCCCTTCTTGCTAAAATCTGTCAACACGAGGTTCCAGATTGTCAAAGCAACCATAGACGAATAAGATGTCGTTAGGGGCAACACTAAGGCCTAGAAAAAAATCAGGCCCTAATACCCAAAGTGTGTGTGTGAAGTTTTTGCCTCAATTTTAGTCAGAAAGCACCCACTTTCACTATGACTAAACACTGCCCTTGTTAGGAGGCCAAAACTTCACGTTTTAGTAGTTTCATATAATTTTGTACTAGTAATTCTAGCCAACGAAGTCTTATAAGAACTGAAAAGCATCCAAGGGAGTAGAACTGCCTTTTTCTTGGACTGGGGGTGGACATGGAAGTCTATCAGGAGGACACAGAGAATCTAACCCCATGGACTAAGTAACCCGTAGTAGTGACCTTTCTCATCAGCATGACAAAGTACCAGACAAAAGCATCTTAAGTGAGGAGACTTTCTCTGGCCCACGGTTTGGGGGATTTTAGTCCATTATGGCAGGGAAGGCATGGCAGAGCAGTACAGCCTGTGCCACCAGGAATGTGAGGCAACTGTCACCACATTTCACGGTAGGCAGGGAGCAGGAAAAGTTCAGGGTGCAGCATTTTCTACTTACACGGTGTCATTCAAGACACAAGAAACCACTCTATTGGTTATCGGTCAGGGAGGCCCCAGAGGTCTCTAAAACAACAAAAGCGAATGTCATTGCCCTTGGTTATTCATTCACCATGGCTATAGAGTAAAACACCAATGATGAAGATATCACATACTCTGGCTACAGGGCTTAGAGAAAGAAACCAGCCTCAAAACAACCAGGAAACTTCCTCCCTCTTGGCAAGCTTCCATAGTACCTGAAGGTGCTGTGTGAGTTCCTGGAGAAAACACAACCGTCTTCCATAGTTCGGGATCATACATATACTATATCAGATTATCAGTCAAGTCATACCCACAGGTGCAATAATAGTAGAACTATTATGGGGTAGCTATTTTCTGGCCAGGTTTGAGACCTGATTCACAATAGGGAATCTCATGCCTGGTACTGTCAACCTAGTCAAAGCCCATGGCTGTAGAGGTCAGAGACCCTAAGCCAGAACCTA